TCTGTGAGAAATGTGGCGCGTGCCGGCGCGTGCCGCATAGTCACGTGCTCTCCGTCATTGGCGTAGCGCGCGCCATTTTGTTCAACGACCCCGAAAACCATTCGGTCACTTAACATATGTAACATCTTCCTTTTTATCGATCCTTCTTCAGAAAGTTGATCGACGTGCAAGAAACAAAAGAATATTACTAAAATTGAATTGTTTACGATATAATAATATATCTACAATTTTCTTCCTCCACTTTGGCAACGATCTTAGTAATCCTAACCCCACTTTTAATTATCCAAAGAAAAATTCTTAAGTGTCCAAAAAAAAAAAATTAAATTTCATACAACAGAAGTATTTTCAAAATTTGAAATTTATAGTCAAATAGAAGCTTAATGAATTTAATTTTACTACGAAAAATGGGAAGAGTTGCTCCGTACCGTATTTCATTCTTCCACGAGTTTAACATGAATATAATTCATATATATGTATACACTTTAACTGGTTAAAACAGCAAATATACATCCAGCCACTTTCCACGCTTTCTCCAAATGAAGAAAGTGGATGAAAGACGAAGCCATCGAAACTTATACGTAGATGTAATCGACGATAATGACGATGGCATCGCTCACAGTGGCTCGTAACAGCAATAACGGTTCGTTGAAGTTAACGATTTCGGATTTGATAGAGTCTGTGGAACGTGAGGTCCGACATCTGGCGCTCGAATCAAAATTCGGTAATCGCAAGGGACGCGAGGGCAGGTGATACGCCAATGGAGGATCCGCTTAGCCGTGAAAGGGGAAGGGAAGAAGAAGCGTCGGGTGCGCTAGCCTGGACTCCGACTCGTTCACGTCGGGTGCATGTTCCGCTTGGTGCATCCTTGCCTGCATCCTTGTGCACGCACCTCCTTCACTCTGCGTGACCGCTGCATTCTTCGTCGTTAATTCACCGGTAACGCGATGATGCGATTTTTTACATATGCTCGGGATTAATCTTTCGTTCGCTGTGTGTCCTTTTTTTTTTTTAACGAAGATAGCGTTTTTGTAGGTAATCATGGGCTATTTTTGCTGTTCGTTTATTCTTCTTCTGCTTTGTAACACTGCGGATGACATGGTTAAGTATATTTCTTGTAATTGAAGGAGTTGAGAAGAGAAGTGAAAATTTTTCGTGAAAATAGAAAACTCCTTCGTTTATTCTTCTTCGGCTTTATAATAATGTGGATGATATGATTATATTTCTTATAATTTAACCCTTTCACTGCTATTGGTGTCTATAAAAATTTGCCCTTTTGAAAATTTTCTCAAAACTGTCTGCTGTTGGTGACTTTTGGTTCACTTTCGTCTAAATTCAACCCTTAAAGTTTGCCCTTCGAGTACTCTCACTTCAATTTAACAACAGAAATTTAAAAATGATAAATTTTAAAATTTTAAAACGCCAAAACGAAAGTCTTTGCCGGTAATCTGCCGCAGCGAGGGGGTTAAAGAGTTGAGAACAGAAGTGAAAATTTTCGGTATAAACTTCTAGCGTTTACCACCTTCGTAGAATTAGGGGGAAAATAACCGGTAAAAAGTGTATGGAGTTACTTAAACTTTACAGCTGCGACTATCTTCAATTCTCCCCCAAAATTACATTCATTTCATTGCTAAACTTTTCAAGAATTCCACTGTTGCATCAACAGGATTCAAACAATCCGTGCAGTTTTTTGAAATATAAAAATTGAAAGAAAAATATGGAAGAAAAATGGAAAATAGTATTTCCTGTATAATCTTACGAGGATATTTCTCTTTCTTCCACTTCGTATACCGAATTCGCTGCACATTTCATTTTTTACACACGCTGTTACATATTTCCAAGAAGGTACACAAAAGAATGTATACAATTTCTCATGAGGTTGACACGCAAAGCTCGAAACGCGGTCGAAACGCGCGAGAAAAAAATGTCGGTATACATGCGTGGCTGACCGAAATTACGGAATTACATGAGACAAGTGGAGGAACGAGTGGCTGAGTCCCGAATGATTTCCGTGTAGCCGCGGGGTAACGGGAAGCAAACACAGCACGCGAACTACGGTGTCAGCCCCGATCTGTCCATCCGCCAATAATTATGCTTGCTCATTAATTGCCTTTCGAACACCTACTTTTTCCGACATTCACTCTTCAGCAGCTGAATAGGTATGTCTCGAGACGATTTCGCTTGGAACTAGCCGAAAACCAGGGAAACGAGTTACGCTTTGTAGTGAAATAACTATGCTAATAGATTATTCGTCAAAATTTACGTGGAGATGAATAATCGAAGGGTTTAGTAATATTTAAATTAAAATTTTTATTTAAATATTATTTCGTATAAGTTGAATATTCAAAATTCTTGAGGTATTTGAATATCTTTTGCTTTTTATTCGGTATAGGAAATTTATGATTATTAATTTACAGAAAGTTAAACGATGAAACATTTTAGATCATTTTAGAATTTTTCATCTAAGAAGACAGAAAAATTGCAATTTGAAAAAGACTCGGTAGGTAATACCGATTATGCAAAACGACTCGTGTACAATTTCGTTCTACCTTCCGTTAATTGTAAACGACGTTCGAAGTAGTAAGCTCGCGGTGAAACGAAATCAATTCCCTTTTTATATGTAATTGAAGATAGCGTAATTAAATTAAAGCAATGGTAAAAGTTCTCGATCGCGGTTGCTGCACTCGCTATTAGGTATTCTCCCTTGCACCTGCATTTTAAGCACCGTTTCGTAACGATCCGCAGGATCACGATAGGAGATTAAAAAGCTTTCGCCCGAGACAAATCTCGATGATGTACCGTTCGAAATAACGATTAATAATTATTGCTTGAAACGAAACAGCTTGTACGTTCCTCCCTTCGTCGTTTTATTTTCTCTTATTGTTTTACGTTTCTGACACCATCGTTGTGCTATTAAAAAGTTATATACCTACCTGTTCGTATCAGTACACTGTATTCGGTAATACATAATCGGTGTAGGTACTTACATGTATACGTAAGTGCGTGTGTGTGTATACTTACCTTTCGTTAATACGGGAGTAAAACATTTCTCAGGAACGTATTAAAAATTTTATTACCCAAATATCGTAAGCTTTACCGTGCGTAAGTAAAACCTACCCAATTGCTACTGTTTCCTTTTCTCTAAATTAATATCACACTTTTGTGATCGTTAATATATGTGCTCTTAATATCCTTTTTATTTTGTACATTTTGTACATTTACTCATTTTCGCTAATTTATGAATTTACTAATTTTCGCTAATTTATACATTTTCAAATTTTCGCTAATTTATAAATTTTCAAATTTTCACTAATTTTGCCCGTTTCGAGGAAATTTCTTCTGTTTGATTCTACGAAGATGATCGTTATGGAAATAAACGAAACTGAAAATTTTTGCAATCGTTAGTTTTCATGTTTAATTTTTTCAAGGTTTCTATATTTCGAGGAATTATTTTTTCGGAAAATTTGAGAGATTTTCACCCCACAGTTTCACTGTTTCAAGTGATGTCAATTCACAAGTAGACTCTGTTTACATGAAATAGTCGAAGGTCGCATTATAGATCCACACTTTTCAAGAGATTAACGCGTTCTTTCCATCTCAGGTTTGAGTGAGTTGTCCGATGAGAAGGATTTCACGCAACCACTCCAAGTGGTAGGAAAGTTTGTGGTCGGATCGTTGGCACATCCATTCATACGTTTTCACGCGTAAGCACGCAACGTACCGAAACTGTCAAGGTATACAAGTTGTCGTTCCTTCGACGATGGCCCGTCTTCCCTTTATTTTTTCTACTTTCGATGATTCTGATCGATACGAAACTTTTTTATTTGAATACTGTCCACGAACGCTATTTCCCATTTCACTTCATTTTAATTCACTCTTTTTCGAGTTCTGCGTCTATTTTAGATTTCAGTCTTGTTTTATTATAAAATTTGTTAAATACGGAATATTCGTGTAAAATTTGCAAAATATAAAATATTCAAACAATCAATGTACACGTAACTCACTTATCCGTTCTTGCAAGCGATACCTGCTCGATTGGCGCTATCGGTAACAGATAGATATTGACGTAGACATCGACGTTGGTTTGACGTTAGTTTGACGTGAAACCGCGTCACTTATCGGAGAAATGGTGAATTTCGTTTGTAATGTAAATAATTATTAAGTGTTACCTTGACTTCGTTAATGTAACATAAATTGTCCTCGTTATAGCTCGACTAATTCTACTTAAGCGTCCGGTGACTTAAACTAGCATAAGTGAAACTTTTCCGATAATATTAACGAAATAGGATATTTTTGTACATTTCCCTATTGTAATCCTTTTTTCTCGAAATTAGTCTCGTATGAAGTAGTTTCGTGTTACAGAATTTCTAGGTGTCGATGCTAATATTATTTGAGTATTTTAAATTTACCAGCTACGTTGTTTACGACTATCAATTTCTATATTGCAAAGGTAAATTTCCAAACACTTTTTCTCTCGGTTACAAACAATCAGCACCGTGACCTCGTTAAACCCATGACTTATAGCAGCGAGTAGGATTCGTGGCAGAGTTTTTAGTCAAGATGTGAGGAAAATAGTTAATTAGTAAGGAAAATTAATTGTAATCCTAATTTTCCTTTTAACTCGTAAAACAGAGAATTACCAAATGAATCACTCGGAAATAAAAGTGACTAACTCCATAAAGTAAAATTTACTAAATTTCCATACCTATGAAATTTCCATAAATTTGATACCAAAACTGGAAGAACATCAAAAAGTGGAGTTAATCATTTTGTCTTCCGAGTGACTCAAATGCAATTAATCTTTAATAAATTAACTTTCATTACCTGATACAGTATCTACTAAAGCAGTAGATATCTTAGCTTAAATGCATAGTGAGAAAATCAAATTTCAGTCAAAATCGAATAAAACCAGTCATATCGGTAACAGAAACAAATGTTAACTCCAATTTTCCATTTAATTCACAAAACTCAAAATTGCCAAATTTAATTAACCACCTTCTCCTACTTAATCCACACTAGAAAAAAAAATCATAAATCAAAGGGTTAATAAAATTACACACCAAATGCTGCTCTCTTTTTAAGGTTTCACCGAGAACCTACCGCAACAGAAACATACGCAACCAGTCGATATTCCTCTAATCCTCTTTCACAACTGCCTATAAGAAAGTTACCTGTAATCTCCATAAGTAAAGATACCGAAAACGACGATCGAAATGGTTGCACCATCGGGAGAGCCTACTTCCGTTCATCAGCAGCACAATCGTCTGCCTGTACACGAAACGTTGCACGTTCCACAGGCTCTTTGATCGTTGATCCGGAGGCGGTGGTCTCGTTGGAAGCACACACGTTCTCGGGGCAAGCCGGGGCCTGTGGCGCACGCGCGCACCTTGGAGACATCGCAGGTGCAGTTACCTGCTGGTCGAGTTCTCTCCTTGTCCCTCCTACAGCAACCAATTATGCAAGTTTCACTTATCCGAAGTTGCCAGGTAGCTCGTTATCGCGGGACGCGAGACCACGAATGGGTTAAGGACATCGGGACCTGCTTTCAATACATTCTTCGCCACGCACTCCTCGCGCACGAAAGTGCTCCGTTTCCGATAATACACGTTTCCTCGTGTCTTCTTCTCCTTCTCCCTCTTCTATACAGAGCGAGCCGCCCGGCCCTACACGCTCGGAATTTCTTTTGTCTCCCCCTGTTCTGTCCCTGTCTAGCCCCGCACCCTG